AGATCCTATTGGAGGAGTTCACGCGTACCTACGAGGCCATTTCGGGAGCAACAAGACGTTAGCAGGGATAGCGAAGTATTACTACTAGCCCGGGATGGTAGCAGATGTGCAGCAGTTCGTCACCTCATGCGACACGTGCTAGCGGATGAAGAGCAGCAAGCAGAAAAAACAGGGTTACTTCAGCCTCTACCCGTACCGGAGCAGCCATGGCAGGTCGTTAGCCTCGACTTCATCACAGGACTCCTTCGACCTCACGGGGACATGATTCCATCCTCTTGGTGATCGATAAGTTCTCCAAAATGGGTCACTTCATACCGACCAACGCCACAGCTACAGCTGAAGCAACTGCTCGCCACTTCTTCGACCGCATCATCACCATCCACGGCATCCCCGCTACACTTATCTCAGACAGAGACCCAAAATTCACCAGTAAGTTTTGGAAGGAGCTCATGGGACTGTTGGGGACAAAGCTTGCAATGTCTTCAGCATACCACCCCCACACTGACGGACAGACAGAGCGACTCAATCAAGTGGTTTTGAACAGTACTACACACAACTTGCAAGGACGACGTCAGCCACTGGGACACACAGTTACCGACCCTAGAGTTCGCTTACAACAACGCATCACGTGCGGCCACAGGGAAAACTCCTTTCTTCCTGTGTTACGGACGGGAACCACTCACACCACAGCAGCCAACCACACCGGCACACGTCCAAGCCGCACATGACTTCGTCACCACCATGCAGCACCTATGGGAGAAGACCCAGCGACGACTCACCACGATACAGACCTCTGAGAAGCTGTATGCCGATCGTCAGCGACGTGATCACTCAGTAGTAGTCGGAGATCAGGTGCTTCTTGACACGCGCAACTTGAACCTGTCTCACCTCCCATCCAAACTCCGGCCTCGCTTCTGTGGTCCTTTTCTCGTTGCGGCACAGGTGACACCAGTTACATTCCGCTTGCGCTTACCAGATACGTGGAAGCTTCACAACGCTTTCCATGTGCAGCTACTGAAACCCTACAAGGACCCCAACCACCAGTTCCAGGGATGGCAACTACCGCCACCACCACCGGTTCTCGTACAGGATGAACTAGAGTACGAAGTGGAGCGCGTTCTCACTCATCGGCGCCGCAGAGTGGCAAGACCCTCGAGTTCCTAATACGCTGGAAAGGATACGACCCCACTTAGGACAGTTGGGTTGCAGAAGCTGATATGGGCAACGCACGCCGTGCTCTCAAGGACTATCTTGTCAAGCAGTGTGTTTCTCACGTCTGCTGAAACCCCTTAGATACAAGCCTTGACTTGTAGCGGGTCAGCTCCCTATCTGGTCCATACTTATGCCTGAAGATCAGCTTGGAAAGAAATGCCTTCTTCCCAACTGACAGCTCACACCGCTCCCCAGTCTCGTTCTCCAGCAGAGAGTCATACTCCTCCTTCACACTCTGCATCCATTTTTTAGCATCCGGCTCCGATCAATGCTTCAGCTAGCGTCTTGGGCTAAGGAACGGCTTGTTATAGTCACAGTAGGCTTCAATGTGCCTAAAACGAAAGGTAGAATGCACAGTCGGATTTCTGCACACTGGATTTAAACGTACATAGCGATCTTGCTCTCAAATCCAAATGACTTCATTCAACTTGGATCTGGAGCGCCTTAACGTTGCCTACACTAGGCAATTTAGAGCGCACGATTTATCAAGAATTGACGACACATCGTTGGTTGAACGAACGGTACTATAGCAGCAACATGTCTTAGAAACACACAAATAGGACGATTTAGGAAGAGTTACGAGTGGGAATGACTCCCAGCTCCTACAAACCCCAAGAGCCGAGTACAGTGATGTGGAACAGTGCCACACTGTCCCCAACCAAGAAGGGTCTCGAAACTACCCTTCACAAGGGCCTACACCAACTGAAATGTTACACTACACAAAGTAATGTGACTATCTTCAATATCTTGAGGTGTACCCCTTTTGGCGAGCTTCGAAATCACTTGAAGCTTGCAACCAAGGCTCGATTCTTCATCACAAACTCATCCTCAAGTTCTTGATGGGTGTGCTGCACACATCTGCGACACGCCGAACGTTGGACAAGCGACAAAATAGAAACCGCGCACGACGAAATAGAGACCGCGCGGAACACACAAATGATCGCGTAACATGCGACCAGCGATAACTCGCTATTGACTCGACACCACACACTCTCGACATCATGACCCATCATACACACAATATTATGAGCATGAGATATATGTTTATTTCATGCATTCATACCACTCCATGACACACGCATGGAAGCACACGCACACGGACAACAAGACGAGTGCAAACCGTGGGGTTGCACAATAAAACTCCCCCTCGGATTGTTGGCCTTAGGATCTTGCTCTCTCAGTTCAGAGCCATCCCAGCCAGCTTGCAACACTTCCAATGCTGCTGCTCCACCAGCCTCTTAGTCATCATGTCAGCCGGCTGCCCCGTCGTCTTCACATAGCGCATCTCAACTTCACCCGCGGCCACCATGCTCCTCGTCCAGTGGCACTTCACCCTCATGTGCTTGGTGAGGACCGTGCTGGACAGGATTCTTGGCTAGTGCAATAGCACCCTGGCTGTCACAGTAGATTGGGGTAGGTCCTTGCTGCTCCTCCCCCAATTCAGTCAACAAACGCCGCTGCCACACAATCTCCCGTACGGCACGGAAGAGTGCCATGTACTCGGACTCCACCGAGCTCAATGCTTGGTCCACCTGCTTCTTGCTTTCCCAAGCAGTAGGGCCTCCACCAACACAGCAGATGAACCCTCCAACACCTGTCATGTCCTCTGGTTTCAGATGCATATGAAGCATCCGAGTAGGCGGTAAGGAACAAGCGCCCGGGTTCAACTCCATCCGCGCCCTTTTGGTGCCTTTGCGCCGCCGCCGAGTATTGCAGCCCAACGGTCGTATTTGGCCAAGATACTTGGCCACCCTCATTCCAGCTGCTACCTGCTCCTCATTAGGGCATTGCACAACCCTAGCCAGCTGCCCGGTAGCAAAGGCGACGTCCGGCCGAGTGTTGTCCGCCGCATACATGAGGCTGCCCACTAACGAGTGAAATCGGCGCCTCTCCTCTTCACCCACGCTCTCCTCTTCTGGTCCCTTCACACACTTGAACCCAGAGGGAAAGGGTATAGCCACATGGCCTTCACTTTGCCCAAAGTTGGCCGCCAAGGCCTCCAGGTACTTCCGTTGGTGCACCCGCATGCACCGCTTCTCCACGTCACGCTCGATGTGAAGCCCGAGGTAGAAGTTCACGTCACCAAGGGACTTGAACTTGAACTTGTCTTGCAGCTTCAGCATCACCTCCTTCACAAGGTCAGAGGAGGGTGAGAATATGAGAATGTCATCCACATAAACCACCATGAAGCTCCTCTGCTCCCCCTCACCAAGCATGAACAAGGAGTGATCGGCCGTTGAGGGAGTGAAGCCGATCTCCTCCAACACTTCGCGCAGCTTCATGTACCGTTGCCTAGGGGCCTGCTTCAGCCCATAGAGGGCCTTCTTCAGCTTCCACACTCTGCCGCTGCCATCGTCAAACCCCTCTGGCTGCGCCATAAAGATCTCCTCCTCAAGGATTCCGTTGAGGAACGCCGTTACGATGTCTAGCTGCTTCACCACCCAACCTTTGACGGCGGCTCCCTCGAATAGGGTTCGCAGCGTCGTCGGCTTCACCACTGGAGCAAACAGCTCCTTGAAGTCCACCTTCTCATTTTGCTGGTACCCCTTGGCCACCAGCCTAGACTTGTAACGCTCGATCTTGCCGTCGGCGTCCGACTTGATCTTGAAGAGCCACTTGGACGTAATGGCCTACGCCCCTCCGGTAGCTCCACCAGCTCAAACGTGTCATTCTCCTCAATGCTCTTCAGCTCACTCTCCATCGCCTTCTTCCATTCCTCAGCATCACTGCTCTCCAAGGCCTCCTTGAGAGTTGCTGGTTCCCCGGCATCTCCACCGGAGAGAAGAATGCGAACGCACACTCCTCGTAGTCACTCTCCTCGTCGTCTCCGACCATCATTGCCGCTCCAGCCAAGGCCGTCTTGCCTTGCTTTCCCGGCGCATCATAGGTCAGCCTATTAGGGGGTTGAACTCTCCTCTTCCCCCTTCCTTCCTCCTCAGCTGCAGGGACTTGAAGGCCTTGGCGTTGCTGCGGTGTGGCTCGTTCCGTGGAGTGCTCGTAGTGCGGGAAGGAAGTGTCGGTGCACGCTCGCTCACTTGCTGCACCTCCTCCTCCTCTTCTTCCTCTGCATCCCTGGCCTCCTCTCCCCCATTCACAAGGAGGATTGCCTTGTGGTGGTGGTGCCGCTGCTCAGCTCCAAAGGCAGCTCCACATGCTCCAACCCGGAACTCTTCACCTCCCCAAACCGCACACCTATTTTCGCCTCATTCTCCGCCATCCAATCCTTGTACATGAAGTTCTCCATGAACTTGCAGTCCCTGCTCACCATGAACTTCTTGGTGAATGGGTCCCAAAGAAGCCACCCCTTGCTGTTTTGAGCCATGCCCAAGTGCACGGCCCACACCGCCTTGGCACCAAGCTTGTTGTGCCGAAGATGCTTAGGCACGAGCGCGATGCACATGCACCCGAACACCCGAAGCATATCCACCTTTGGCTTCCTTCCAAGCCACTCCACATAGGGCACCCATTTGTCTGCTCCCACATGAGTCAAAACTCTGTTCTTGACCACACACGCGCTCCGCACCGCATCAGGCCAGAAGTAATCGGGTAGCCCGGCTTCAATGAGCAACCCGCGTGCCGCCTCCGTGATCGTCCGGTTCGCTCGCTCGGCGATGCCGTTCATTGCAGAGGAGTATGGCATGGTGAGGGAGTGCCGAATGCCATTCTTCTTCAGCCACAACCCCAACTCCTTGCTCACGAACTCTCCCCCTCGATCGGTGCGGATTGACTTGACTAGACGGTCTTGTTGCCGCTCCACCATTGGGAACCAATCCGTCTTCAACGTTTCAGCCACGTCACTCTTCTTGGCCAGCACATACACCCAAGTCATGCGAGTGTAGACGTCGACAATGGTGAGGAAGTACTCTACTCCAGCAGCTCCTAGCTTCAGGGGGGCCACCACGTCCATCACCACCTCATCAAGTGGTGCCTTAGCTGTTGCCTCGGAGCTCGAGAACGAAAACCGGGTGAACTTGGCTTGCAAGCATGTTGGGCAGCCAAGCACCTCATCGGGCTCCCCCTTCACACTTATGCCAGCAACCATCTGGTTCTTCACTAGCTGCTGCAAAATAGGCAGGGCCACATGCCCCATGCGCCGATGCAAGGTGAGCCAATCACACTCCCTCGTAGCGGAAGTCGTATTGGAGAATGTCGCGCTCGCAATAGCGCCCCACATGCTCTCTCCGTACTCCTCCTCCACTGCCGCCTCAGGGCTCTCCTCACCCTTGTGCCGCTTCTTGGCTGCTACACCACTCTCCTCGAGTTCACCGAGCTTGCTGGTCCCTCCAAGATTGCACTTCTTGGACACAATCTCCTTAGCGTGACCGTTCGCGCCATCGCCGCTACTAACCGCTTCATCCTTGGTGCTGACGCTTGCTGCCACTTGCCTCTCCTTAGGCATGGGGACCACAGGGATCTGTCACATCTCGTTGTAGACATCCCTGTCCTCATGAAGGTCCCAAAGAATCAGATCGCCAAGCCTTGCGGTGAAGGTCTTGGCTCCCTTCGAGTTCGTGTCCATGCCGGCCTTTGCCAATCGCCGCACGGAAATCAGGTTCGCAGCAAGGCTGGGCACCCAAAGCACGTTCTTGAGGCCCACCATCTTCCCATCAGCACCCTTGAACATGGCCTTGCCCATGCCTTTCACCTCTGCTCGCTGCCCCAAAGCCGATGTGAGATGCTTCACCGGTGACAGCTCAAGTTCGGTGAGCAAGTCCGGGCGAGGTGTCATGCTATAGGTAGCGCCGCTGTCAATCACCCAATAGTCCAGGGGGTGTAGGGTCACCTTCCCTACTGCTTATGGCTCCTCAAAGCCTTCGTCCTTCTCTGGACCAGCCGGTACTTGCGTCGACACGAAATAGAATAGGCCCGGGTACCGATCGTCGCTCGGGTCCTTGTCATTATCTCCACTCTTCATGTTCGCGGCTCCACCTCCGCGACCGCCACGGCCTCCGCGGCCTCTTCCTCTCCCTCCTCCTGCTCCTCTACCCTCTTGGCCTTGAGTAGGGGTCCAACCATCAAGGAGCTTGAAGCAATCGCGCCACATGTGTCCGCTCTTGCCGCAATAGTGACATTTGCCGTCAAAACGTCCGCGACCGCGACCGTAGCTCTTGTCGTCGCTGCTGTATCTGCCATTCCCGCGGCCTCCACTGAAGTTGCCGCCACCAGATCTTCCTCCCCCACGTCCTCTGCCTCTTCCTCGGCCATATCCACGGCCGACGCTCGCTGCCCCAGCGCCATCCGCACTCGCCAACTCACGGCGGCGGAAGTCCTGTTGAAGGATCGCACACTTCACGTCTTCAAGCGAGAGACGGGGCAGATCACGGTTCAAGTTGATTATGAGTGAGGACCACGATTCCAGGAGTAGGGCCAGCAACCTGGTCTTCTTCTGGAGCTCACTGTAATTCAGATCAGCTCCCTCAAGCCACGTCAACAAGTCGAATAATTTCTGCACCCCGTCTTCCACACGTTCATCTTCCTCAATTCGTAGCGTCGTCATTGGCCGTTCCAACACCACAGCTACCGCCGCTGTTGCAGGAGCATGTACACCCTTGAGAGCAGCCCATGCCTTTGGTCCCTTCTTTGGATCACGCTGGAAAGGATTGATGTGACGGATTTGACTGCTCCCCAACGCTTGCCCTAGTAGGAGGTAGCCTTGTGCGCTCTTCCCCACCCACAGGCTCTTCTCCGGGTCGTTTTCGGGGCGCTTCTCCGTTCCTTCCATCACCTCCAGCAGGTCATAGTGATCAAACACATTCTCCATTCTGAAGGATCATTCAGCAAAGTTGTCGCCGTTGAACTTGTCAAGCCCGAACACTCTTGGTTCGTCCCTAAAAGGTCCAAGAGTCGGTTGCACGGGCGCCACGGCTGACACACGGGCTTGGCCTTGTGCTTGGGCATCTCCATTGCCACCAGCACCTCTGCCACCCCTTTCTTCAGGTCCAGCCATCGTCGAAGCTGCTCCAAGGGGCTCTGATACCACTTGTTATAGTCACAGTAGGCTTCAATGTGCCTAAAACAAAAGGTAGAGTGCACAGTCGGATTTCTGCACAGCGGATTTAAACGTTCATAGCGATCTGCTCACAACTCCAAATAACTTCATTCAACTTGGATCTGGAGCGCCTTAATGTTTCCTACACTAAGCAATTTATATCGCACGATTTTATCAAGAATTGACGACAAAGTGTCGGTTTGAACGAACGGCACTATAGTAGCAACATAGTCTTACAAACACACAAATAGGAAGAGTTAGGAAGAGTGACGAGTTGGGAATGACTCCCAGCTCCTACAAACCCCAAGAGCCGAGGTACAGTGATGTGGAACAGTGCCACACTGTCCCCAACCAAGAAGGGTCTCGAAACTACCCTTCACAAGGGCCTACACCAACTGAAGTGTTACACTACACAAAGTAATGTAACTATCTTCAATATCTTGAGGTGTACCTTTTTGGCGAGCTTCGAAATCACTTGAAGCTTGCAACCAAGGCTCGGGTTCTTCATCACAAACTCATCCTCGAGTTCTTGATGGGTCTCCTGCACACACCTGCGACACGCCGAACGTTCGACAAGCGAAAAAATAGAAACCGTGCACGACAAAATAGAAACCGCGCGGGACACACAAATGATCGCGTAACACGCGACTAGCGATAACTCGCTATTGACTCGACACACACACACTCGACATCATGACCCATCATACACACAATATTATGAGCATGAGATCTATATTTATTTCATGCACTCATACCACTCCATGCACACACGCGTGCACGCACACGCACACGGACAACAAGCCGAGTGCAAACCGTAGGGATTCACCAACACGACTGCCCAGTAGCAGTGTGCTATCTCATCCTCATCACACTGCTCAGCCACACTCCCAGCCCGTACCACCTTTGGCTTGCCAATGCTCGGATAGGTCAGCCGGTTAGGAGGGCGCACATCCCTCGTGGGACGGTCAGCCGGACGTGCGGCACCTTGTGGAGCACCTTGCTGCTGCTGCGGCTGCTGCTGATGCTGCTGCTCCTCCACCTCAGGTTCTCCCCCATCCTCAGTAACCCCAGAGATCTCATTCTCAGAGACAGAAACCTGCACTTGCCTCGAAGGCCGCTGCACCTCATCGGCCTCAATGATCAGCGGTGTAGTGGGAAGCTTCTGCTGCTGCTGCTTCCACTCCTTGTAGTATAAGGACTCGAGGAACTTCACATCCCTTGACATAGTCAGCTGCTGGCTGGTCAAGTCCCAAATCAGCCAGCCCTTGTGATCCTTAGCAAGCCCCAAGTGCTCACCCCATCTCCCAGAAGCTTCCAGTTTTCCCCTTTTCTCCTTAGGCACATGAAACACCACCATGCAGCTGAAGGCTCTCAGCATGTTGACTGCTGGTGCACTCCCATACCACTTGGTGTAGGGGACCCACTACTTGTCCCCCACAGTCGCCAGCATCCTGTTCTTCACAAGGGCGACCTGCCACAGTGCAGTCACCCAAATTGGATCCGGCAGCCCTGCACGCCCAAGGAGAGTGCGAGCACCTTCCTGCAGGGTCCGGTTGAACCGCTCAGCCACGCCGTTCTGCTGAGGGTTGTAGGGCACTGTGAGCTGATGCTGGATCCCCTTCTTCTTCAGCACCGCCTCAAAATCAGCGCCAATGAATTCTCCTTCACCTTATGACCGCTCTCCCTTTGAGCTCTCGGCATCCACTCCTTGAGAACAGCCGCTGCCACCTCCCCCTTTGTCTTGAAAGGGTACACCCACACCGCACGCGTATGGTCGTCCACAATGGTCAGGAAATAGCGGCTGCCCGAGAGAGAAAGGGCCCTCGTAGGCCCCACCACATCCATGTGCACAAGTGCGAGTGGTGCTTTGGCTGCCATAGCCACTCAGGCGTCCATTTGTCCTGCTGAACGTTGAGGGTGGGGATGAGGTTGTCCCACGAGTTGTCGAGCACCGAGATGATCTTGGTGCATTGTTGCATCTGCGACACTTCGATGCCCGCCGCTGCCATCCTCGCATAGGTGTCCTTGATCTTGTCAAGGACCGGTTTCACATCATCTCCCTGTTTCATGGAGAGGGCAGCCAACTCCTTCTCCATCACAATCACCATCGGCAGCATGTTGGGCTGAATCACGTCGCGTAGCAGCTTCCATGCCTTCGGTCCAGAATCATCCAACTCCACCAAATCCTTGATGTGCTGGAACATGTCGTTGTTGACTGATTGGAGGATGAGGTCGTATAGCACCGCGCTCTTCTCAATCCACCGATCGCGGGCATCTCCTTCCCCCGGCATCTTCTCCTCTCCCATTGCAGTTTTCAGGAGCTTGTAGCGCTTGAAGGCGCTCCGCATCCGCCCGCTCCATTCCTCATAGTTGGAGCCATCCAAAGCTTCGATCTTGGATGGTGGCAGTTCACTCCTCTTCTCAGCTGCATCTCCACTCCCTTGATTCATCTCCTCTTCTCCCAATCAGAGGTTTTAGCTCCCCCCTTTGCTGGTCACAATGTAGATCCACACAATCTTGACAAGTGTCGGCGCCAACGAAATTTCGGCAGAGTTTCCCCTTAGCGGAAGTCACATCCAACCTCCTGGACTCCACTTAGGCACGCCCACAGGCCATGGTGGGTCTAGGAGGGTCTTCATACTTCAGTAGACTCTCCAAAAGGTCCTTAATCAGCTCTGATACCACTTGTTAGAGACTAAGGACGGAGTCTATGAAGATTAGGTGCCTAAATTTCTCAAAATCGTTGGTCTATATTTCTGGACAGAATAGTCGCACTCACAAGAAACGCCGTCGACAAAACGTTCAGAGTCAAAACTTCACCAAACTTAGATATGCTGTAGCTCTACTCGGTAGCTACAATTCCTCAGTTGAATCGTACGAACAGGTGAAGTATTTCTTGAGTTATCAATTTCGGCGCACTAGGGGGTATGCTGCCATAGAATCTTAACTCAATCACAAGAGTCTCACACAAGTTCACAATAACTACACAAGAGAGTTAGAGTAGGAATAAACTAGGTGGGAGGGGATGAGGAGGAAGAGAGGGAAGGTCCCAAGAGAGTCCCCAATCAAGGAAACCCCATGCCCCACAATTCCCTTCCCCATAGGCAACCCAACTTTGACCTTTGTCAGTATCCCAACCTCCACAATCCACCTCAACCCAACTTGGCCACACTTGCCAACCTGGTTTGGTTTCTCCCAACCATTTGGCAGCAACTACAGTAGAAAAGACGAATTTTCCAACCCCCAAAAGTCTGTACCCCATATCGAGTCAACCCCACAACTTCCCACAGTTGCCACAATCAAATATGAAAAGCATACTAACTCCAACGTTCGTAACTTTGTTGTTCGTGCTCCGATTGAAGCGATACTTGGTTCTTCGGAAAGCTCTTGAGCAGAGGAGTCACTTCAGATATATTCTCAAGCCAAATTACATTCACACACACTCAGAAAAACCAAACCACACAAAACGCAAATTCTTGCACACGCTCACACCACGCATGCAACGCACGAACACATGATGGGAGGCAGACAGGCGTGAATGCATATGATTGCATCACACAACAGGCGGTACTCACCAATTTTGTAGAGAACGAGGGGAGGTGAAGACCTGAGAATGAGCCAGACGGAACCACGAGACACGGAAGAACAGTGGAGGAACGGGCAAGAACTGGGCCCCCTAACGGGTCAGCAAGTCAGACTGCAACAGGTGCAAGGAGTGGTGTGACTGTGGTGCTGTCGTGAAAGAAACAGCGGGAAGCACCTGAGTCAAGCGTAAAGGTGTGCAAGGCATCGGCAGGCACAGTACCGGGGAGAGCAGACTCACTAGCACCAAGGACAGCAGCCTCTATACCTGGGTCGGGCGTCACACACAAGTAACAGTCATCCTCGGCACTAATAGTCAATGCATACATGGCAGCAAGGATAGCATCATAGTCAAGATAGCAACACCCTGCCTAAGCAGCTCTAGCCAGCGGAGGAGCTCAGTCACGTCGGGAAACTCTGCGCACCAGGCGTCGTTCTAGACGGGAGAAGCAGAGGTACTGTGTGTGACACTTCCCGCATGTCTGGCCAGCGTGGCCACCTGTGCAAATGACATACGAGCAACGAACACTACCCCCGGATGCCCCACGATCATGAAACCACTCACGAAGCTGTAGGGGCGAAGGTGTCTCGCTCGAACGCTGCTGCTGCTGCCTCAGGCCACCTGTAGAACCTCCCCTCTGCTCCACCCCGACCTCCACCACTACCGCCGCCACCACTCCCACTGCCGCCACCACCGCCACCTCCACCGCCTCCACCGCCCCCACCACCTTCTCCACCGCTGCCACCCCCACTACCCTGGCCTCCCTTGCCCCTGCCACTGCGGCGCCTCCCACTAAGAGCAAACGCAGCCCCGACCTACTCAGCACGAAGGAAGTCAGCAGCAGCAGTAGAGGCGACAGAGGGGACGAGGGGGCAGGGGGAACACCCCTCAAAGAAGGGAGTGCGAGGAGTGCCACGAGAAGCACCTACAACGACTATGCTGGTCTCAGCTGCAAAGAGGTGCTTCTCGAGCAGGATGATAGTGAGGTCTATGGGGTCAAGGGTGAGAAGGAGATCCCTGACTGTGCGAAGGGAGTCAGGGAGGCAGGTGACAATGAAGTAGAGAGTGATGTACATGGGGGGGGGGGGGGGGGGGGGGGAGCGCGGCGCGTGAGCGAGTGTCACTAGTGCAAAGGTGGGTGATGAGGTCGGCGACTGTGGCAAAGGCGGACAGCTCGGGGATCAGGTAG